CTTCTCAGAAGAAGTTACCCCTGAAGTTCTTGAATTGTAGCGACCCCTGTGTCGAGCACTCAAGCTATCCCAATATTGAATAGTCATGCTTTGAGCAGGGCCCTCCCGCTAGTTGACGATCTGCGTATTCCTGGCGCCCTGCACTTGGGTCAACAGCCGACCGTACTATCTTCACAGATTGGTATGCCGCGGTATTCTATCAGCCTCGGGTCCGAGCTTGTCTTGAATGTCGGACCAAGCATATCCAAAGATATGGAACGCAGTGCATGCATGTCGCATGGACTCTGTCGTTGCTCTATGATCAATGACAAATATTTCATCAGCTTACCACGCTCCTGGAACTTGGCCAACCCACGGTAGCATTTGCCGACGGATTTATCGAAGGATTCCAATCCTAGTCAAATGATGGAACGCCCATCAATGCATGGTACCTGCTCAGGAAATCCGTAGTTCTGCGAATCCCGCTCATCACCAATCTGAGGATGCATGAGTTAGTGGCAAGCATATTAATCCCGCACGTGTTTTTTCGCCAATCGTTCTACACCATCTCCAGACACGCTTGTTAGTACTTTGTTCAACTATATTGTTCCGGTAATAATAATAACACATCAGCTCGCCTGTGAATGGACAGTACTCATTAATTCGGCGCCCCGACGGATGTCAGTTGTCAAATGCACCGGGCTACAGATAACCTTTCGGTGTCTTTGAACCGGCGTCTTCAATCCATCCCCCACGAAATGATGGCGCTTGACTATCTTTCCCCGTTCCTACTTGCGAGCCATTCATGAAAAAAGCCGGTTGGAGACGGTGGCAATTTTTGCTGCCGAGAGTCTAGACAGTTACGTTGTCGTTCAAAGTGGCACCCAGTCAACCAGTTTACTCCATGGTGACATCCGCTCCATCCTTCACAGTCTGGTATGAGAGTCGTGGCTCAATCTCAGGTTATGTTGCAGAAAGCCTGGCCTGAATGTCCTGGATCATGTCCAATAAGCTTATGAGGTTCGCCAACACTTACCAACATAACCAACATTTCCCATTTGCCATGACGTATAATTGTTGGATTTCTGCAGCGTGGTGATGGCCCATCATCTATAATGAACCAAATTATGCCCCCCACCGTTGGCAAACGCCCAGTCCTTCGTCTTATGAAAACGTCACGCCCTGCACAAGGGATCAATCGTCGATAGACCATGCTCCGTTGGTGTTGGCAGGAGCGCATGGCCGGACTATGGGAAACGAATGCGGAGTTTAGTCTAAACTCCAGCCATAATAATCCAAGGCAAATTAACCCCTCCAAACGCCATCGATATGAAGTCAGCGGCGGGCTGAAGATCAGCAACTATTGCAGTGCGTTTCAGTCTTCACTGCAGGAGCAATCAGGTCATCTTCGACTGGGTTTCAGATCAGAGAGAAACGCACGTTGCTGCTGCACATTGCAGGGCTCACTTGGCATGTTGGCTCGCGCTCCATCTCACACACCATCGGCTCTGTCGAGGATATTTCCATTATTGTCTGCATGGCTGCATCCTTCGCACTCTGAACCCCCCTGCCTCCCGAAGTCCTGATGATCCCCCACCCCAACTCAATAGTCAATCTGGCTTGCTCTCACCCCCGTTAAACCCGTTCACAATAATTATCACCGTAGAATGAAGCCCGATCTAGTACTCTTATAATGCATATACTAACAACGGCAACAACACGGATGTCAAACATCTGTTTATCCCAGTCAGGTATGACGGTTTACTCTTATTTCCCATCAACCCCCCCTCTAGCGGTCTAACTTGCTCTAGAAATGGCACCATATGAGCATACGCAAGACGTTTCCAACAGCGGATGACCACGGATCGAGAACTAGCTTCGCTGCAACCTGAACTTTGCAAGCGTGATGCCCAGCACCGCGATGGACCGCTCTACGCGCCAATGGCTACACGAGACGAAGCGCCATCACGAGCGGCGCATCGAGGAGAAACGTGTCGGGGTTTTCAAATGCCCGTCTCGCCTTTTCCAGGTCTTTACATAGGCCCGAGCCCTACTACACCACGTCTACACTGGGCGTCAGCGGTTGAGGATACAAGAGGCTGGTATACAGGCTTCTCTGATGAAACTGCTCAACCTGAAGTTATCGAGACCTTCTTGGTATTCACTACAATTTGGTGTTGACGCTGTCACTGTACAGCCATGCACTGACTAACCCAACGTAGGATCCCAGAGCCTTCGAAACCCGGACTACCTAGTACTCGAAGCATCTACAGCCACGCAGTAGACTTGCCCTAGTTCTGTGAGAAACGTGATATGTTCCGCTTTCCAGGCACCAAGTATACCATCCACTTGCCGGCGCCTGGCAGTATATTATGATATATATACCCTCGATATTCGTGGCAAGATGTCCACAGCAAAGGGTGTCGTCGAACTCCTTCCTGTTCTTACTTAGATCAAGTCGTGATTTCCCCTCCCAGTGGCCAGCAAGTAGGCACAGGCCGCCCTGAACTGGACAGAAAACATTTCCGATTATATCAATCAGTTCTCCGTAGATTGCTTGAGGAACCTTGGAGAATCGCAGCGTCGCCGCGCCGCTGTTGGCGCGGGATGCCGACCATACGTCAAGCTCGGGCCTGGAGGAAACATACTCGCATATGCAAATGCAAACACATGCAGATGCCGTCAATGCGTACCTTACTAGAGCGCCCCATAGGGTGGCCTTAGGTTCCGATATACATCAATGCATAATTGCAATATCCTCCCTGTGTCAGACGTTGTCTGATTCCCGCACTATGCTAAAGCCAGCGATCTTTGAATTTATAAATATACATTCCTGCTGCGTATTGGCTATGCAAGGAATACGTATGGTAAGATAGTTGCAAGCGCTGTTACGTTTGTTGGTAGACGGAATTAATTTGTTGGTAACGCCGCTGGGCCTGAAATATGCTTCGTGCTGGAATATATATATTTATATGTAGATATAAGAGAGAACACTACGAACGCGATGTAATTCACAATTCCTCTTACCCAGAGTTCTATACAGACTAGTGTGCTCAGCATATATATATATATATAATGCACATTGAAGTATCGAAATGGTAGATCCTACCCTTCGACTAAAAAACCCATTGGTGCTATTAGCCGTCTTTCTATATTGCATAATATACCGAGATGAAGAAACTCCATTCTGTGCACTTGGTATTTGTGCTCTTCCTATACATGTACACGAAGCGGCCGACGAATGGTCCCGGCATGAATCGACGGACGAGTAGGTGCCAAATGGATACAACTAACCACATGATGTCCACAATAGAATAGCTTCTGGCAATGTACTTGCTGTCTACGTCGCTAGAGTTAGATTTTCACCTTTAGCCTGGTCAAATATGCGTACCTTCATCTGGTAAATATGTTGTATATAGCTCTTAGTGACTGTAAGATAGTACGTAGTCAACGAGGCAAGTAGACAGTATTATCTTTTGTTCTGAATGCCCGGTGCCAAGCTCGTTGAATTGCCACATTCTTCACTCGCAAATTACGGCTGCTAGACGGTGGAGGTGTGTTTAACAGCACTGCATGGTATATACGACAGGACTTCAAAGACCAAGGAACGAAGTGATATCATACAATATGAAGCAACATGAGAACAAGTGGATGCTTCTCAGTTCAAAAACATACACGATAACAAAATAGATATGGGATATTTTGGATCAGAAAATGGCCCAACCAGTGCCCAAACGCCTTCAAAAAGTCAAAGATCCCTGATGCCGCGGCGTCACCCACTATCCTAGACCAAGATCCTTAGGTGCCGCTCTGGATTGGATCCCACCGGGGACCCTTTCACCAAAGACCGCAACTCGCTGATGGGTGGCTTATGGACGTAAGTTTGGAACGAATTAATATTTGACCAGTTAAGGCAGGTCGTGTTCGTCAAGGTAGAAAGCCAGAGGCAAAGGTCAATCGTCAAGAGTTCGCAAGGATAATCGATGGTATACTTTAGGTATAACACTAGTAGTTCCGGTCGGGGTTTGTCACCTGCAAGATCCGACGAGAGAAGTCTCGGTCATCGTCGATACTGCCATTGCTCTGGCGCCTCTGAGCCATGAAATCACCATCGAAACGAGAATCGGCCGCGGAGTCTCGAGACACGGGCTTGCCGAATTGCTCGACGTTGCTCATTTCGCGCATTCTTTGGTCACCCGGGTGGCGGTTCTTGAAACGCCAGAGGAAGAAACCGGCACCGACAAGTGCGGCAAACCCAACTACACCAATGACAACACCGGCAGCAATGGAAGCGGTGTTGGGTCCTCCCTTCTTATCGGAGTCATCGTCTGACGAGCCTTCGGCAGTCGCCATCTCGACATCCCCAGCAGTGGGGCTAGAACCACCCGTATCCGTCGCAGACGAACCGTTGCTTGTTGACGAAGTGTTGTTGGAGGTGGATGATGAATCCGAATAGTACGCGACGTTTTCCTTATAATTGGTGAGGTAGACTGAATATGCGTCCGATCCACCGCCTACAAGAGAAGAGAGAAGTTAGTTGTTGTCTAGTGATCCGCAAATGGAAGAGGGTCTTACACTTGACCATGGGCCAGGCGGCACACGGCGTGTCGCATGAATCGTCCGACTCCTTGCTCGATTTCGCGGGAATCAGATCACCGCAGAGACAGTGGTCTTTGTTGTGCAGGCCAAAGACAGCCTTGCCCTCGCCGTAACAAAGGTTCATGCAGTATCCGTTACTTTGGTACTGATAGCTGCCCTTGTCCTCAAGGGGTTTTGAGCTCGAGAAGCAGCCGATATATGTTTGCTCTGCGGCGGCGGCAACCGATGAGCTTTCGGCGAGAAGAAGGACGGCGGTCGCAAAGACCGAAGAGAATGTGAAGGGCCTCATCTTGTAGTGTGGGAAAACAAGTTATTGGGCTGCTGGAGATACAACTGAGGCGGCGGTTGCTTTCAAATTAGGTTGTTCAACGAAGGATGGGGGACGGCCGGCGCAACCCTTTCAATCGTCGAGGTAGTATTGTAGTAAGACGGAAGATCAAGATAGCGAGAGAAGCGAGTTGGAGGATCTAGGTAAATTTTTCGTGCGACAGTGTTCCTGGAGAAGCGGTATCTGGTGGGGATCGAGTGTTTCAAACGTCCCGTTCGGATGGAGCTCTCAACGGTCGCTGATAGTCGGCCACAATAAGGGGGGCGGCGTTGGGGTTGATGAGGTGCTTGAGATGTATATCGATGGACTTGAGACTCGAACAACAGTCGGACTCGAAGAGTGTCCCTGGGCGACCGAACGTAAGATGTCCCTGGACCCAAACAAATCAGGGGTCAATACGACCAAACGAGAGTCGGCAAAACAGCCAGCAACCCAAAAGGTGCTGATAACCAAACAAGAACGGAGGAAATAAACGAGCGTGCCCTTCAGTCGATCGAACAACTGCAAGGAAGGAGAATCGATGGAAAGGGAGAGAAGAGAGTGACTGGAGGAGTGAATGAGAGAGTGATGGAGTGGTGGATGCTGCACCTGCACTGGCTGCGGCCCCGTGAGTCCCTTGTCCCTGGCAGGCGGTACCGTACCGTACCAGTATCTATTGAACTCTACCGTGCTTTACTATGGGTTCCGGACGGCTGCGACGGGTCGTTACCTTGGGATGTGCAACTCTGGTAATTTTGCGTCCCGCGCACCAGTGTTTGCTGGCCCAATCAGCAGCCGAGATATTTCGAGATCGCTTCGACATTTCTCCTTTGGGCCACCTCGCCCGTCGCTCATCCCGATGGGGAATAGGTCGCGACTGTGACGAATTTCGCTGTGGCCTTGGTTTGATGACACGAGGGGGACTGTGTCTCGTCTTGACGACACTCCATTCCAAGCGACGGAGTCTATCCCTTGGCTGCTTTGCCAGAAGCCCAGGACACTTGCGCTCCCGTTGACAACTTGACTGTGTCTCAGTTGCAGGTAGCCGAGATAAAAATCCCACAAAAGACATCTTACGCGGCCTCGAAGACTAACCGGGGCAACCACTACGTCCATGTCTCAACCGCCCGTCCAGAGCGCGCCACTAATGCAAAAGACTGTGCCAGTCTGCAAGGACAACTGCAGGAGGACCAAATGTGCTGTTTGCCCTGTTGTCAGTTGAAGAGTCAGCGCGTCGCCAGGTCAGGCCCTTTTTGATCCTGAGGTGCACATGCAAGCCAATGACAGAGAGATGATGTGCATCCGACCCAGTCATCACGCAGCCATCAACGCCGAGATTGGAGGGAAGCGCCGTGGGTTTGACGTCGATCACTTTGAATTGTTTGCCCCAGTTTCCCAGGCCAATTCAAAAACACAGGGGACACGCTGACATGCTGATTATTCGCCTCTCTCTCATCGAGCGAATGTGATAAAAGTGCATACTTATCCTTGAATCGACGTCATTTTTTTTGACCCAGGAATGCGCAGAGAAGATTCCATGGCTCTGCGTTGGTTCCGCGGCCGATCCCGACCTGCGGTCCCTTGGAACGCCAGGCACGGACACAGTCACGTGTGGAGCCATATCGCGGGCTCTGATCGCTTGATACCATTTCCTTTCCTGACACCTGGGGAAGGATCGTTTCCATATGAAACACGTCAGTTACACCATTATTGAAGGTGATATGAGTCTTTCCTTGAACCGCCGTAGGGTTCAAGGTTCGCTACTATAATTTCCGGTCTCATCCGACTCGCTTCCAATGCCCAGCGAAATTACCCGAACCAGGCACGACTACGGAATATAGGGAACCTAATAATGCTATGCCCGGTGAAGGACCACCGGCTTCCCATTCCTTTGACACTAGGGTTAGGTACTACGCACGGCTTCGAGCACAGCCCTCAACATAATGTTTCAGTATTCGGCTCCTGATGAATATTCAGACTAGTCCGGAGTTTTGTTGTCATCACCGTTCATCGATGAGGGACTAGCACTAGCAACGTTTCCTAAACCGAAGAGTCGTATAGGTACTATGTGTAGGTGGATGATAACTAGGACTCCTAAGAACGCATCGTAGCGCGCCATATGTAGGTATTTCATTGATATAAACATTAGAAAGTTATTTGGTTTGAATAATGATATCTACTCGTGTCCATGAGAAACTGAGCATGCCTTGGATCTGTTAACTACCTAGGCACCTATAATAATAATGTCTTTTTCCCCCCTCTCCTTTTCTTTTAGGTATAAACATACACGACGCAACGAGTCAACCGCTTAGTCCAAAGGAGCCCCGTTCGTGCAGGTCATGCCATTCGTTTTCGGCCACGTTATCTCCAAGGAGTGATTTGTATTTCTCTTGTTGCGCTCCCACCCAATCGTATATAGGTATTCTCATGATACATATCTAGTTAGCAACGTGTTTCATGAAATTCTTTATCTGTTTACGGCTTCGGGATACGCAGGGTCTTGCTGACCATGAGGCACCCGTGCAGTACAAAGAGCAGAACGATGGGGTGGAACTCGAATAGCGTGCCCTGGGCAGCAAGACCCAGCGGGATATCTTCCAAAATCCATTCTTGCGATACCCAGTATGCCATCAATCCAACAATACCCAATGTGGTAGGAATCGGTGTACCCTCGAAGTATTTCGACTTGCCGGTCTTGTCTTTAGGAAGGACCGCGGCGGTCACATTGAAACGAGCGAGACGCGTTAAGCCGCAGAGTACGAAGAATGTAAGGAATAGGTGATCGAGAGTGGTTCGGATTCCAAGTGCGAACGCAGCTGCCGCGGGGGCCATACCGAAGGAAATCTAAAGAACAGCCGTTTAGTTGTCTGCGCTATCAGCGGGATTAATAGACCTACAAGGTCTGCCAGGGAATCCAATTCTTGCCCCATGAGCGACGACTTCTTCCTCCATCTTGCAATCCTCCCGTCCATGAAATCGAAAAAGAGGCCGAAAGGCATAAACCCGAGAGCGGCCCAGATGGCGCCATGGTCATGGGGATCACCAAGGCAGTAGCGCAGAGATGAAAAGACGGACATTACTGTAGCGAACCGGTTAGTGGTCATTCGTAGATATCTCAAGGTTGGTAGTCGAACTTGCCTCCGCAGAATCCTAGAGATCATGGTCAGTACGGATAAATTCCACCAAAAAGATTAGCGACTGTTCCTTACCATTGAGTTCAGTTACGAGATCCGCCAGATGTAGGGCCCTAGTATATGAATACCAATAAGCATCTGTCCCCGCCGATCAACGGATTCCGGGGAGACTAACTTGACCATACTGAAGTGACCAGCATCCGAGCCCAAAAGCATCTTCTGCTTTTCCTGGCCTATGTAATGCCATTAGTAAACCTCTAAATAGCACTCAGCATGCAGGTCCAACATACCTCCATCAGCGATCGTTGAGCCACCGCTGTTTGTAGACGAGCTCGCGGGCATGGCGGAGGTCCTTCGAGACATGCTCATTCGAGGAAAGGCGAGCAAAAAAAGGTTATAAGCAAAAGATAAAAGTCTGGAATGCAGTATAAATGATTGATGCTTAGGTAGAAAGCAGATTCAGGTTGGCAATCGCAGTTTGGATGAGGATGTGTTGACGCTTCACGTGCAGAGGTCTCGCTTCTTTTCAGGCTTTACGCAGTGCGACGAGACGTCATCCATGATTGTTCGCTGCTGCGCCACACCCAGCCACATTTTGTCAAAGCGTTTTGTTGAACGATTGAGATCCTCCATGACTGCTAGGTATATGAACAATACCAACGCATAATTATTAATAGGCTCGTAAGAGTATTTTCCAACTGGGGAACGGGATTTATTGGCTGTAATCCGCATAGACAATTCGCTCGACCGTCGATGATCTACTGCTCAACTGATCTTCAGCAAGCACATCATGGAGAAGACTCATATCACATTACAGAATTCGAAGCACAATACTATCAATTTTTTCTCTGACCATAGTCAAAATTAGGTCGACATAAAATCCCGTGTTCCCAAAACGCCGTAATAAGACAGGACGAGGTAATGACAGACAGGCCCAGGCTGTCCATGGTCTAACGCCGGAAGCCACCACCACCACGAGGTGCTCCTCGGCCACCTCCTCTTCCACCGAATCCACCACCGAATCCACCACTACCACCGCGGAATCCACCTCCACCACGAGGGCCACCGCGTCCTCTCGGGGCACCACCGCGACCGCGGGGAGCGCCAAAGCCACCACCGAATCCACGACCACCACCGCGGCCGCCACGGCCGCCACCACGAGCTCCGACTGCCTTCTTGGGCTTGGAACCTAGGGAAGTTGTTAGAAATGAGCACATTTTGCGATGTCGGAAGACCTGAAGGTTTACCTGGAGGAGGCTTAGGCTTGGGAAGGAACCTATTATAGCTGGTTAGCGGCTAGTTTCCTGATTCGGATATTGGGATGCATACTTCTCAATCGGAAGGAGCTTGTCGCCGCCGATGAAGACCTTGTCGCCGGGCTTGAACGAGGCCGCGACGATTCCTTCCTGGGGCTTGATGGTGAAATATACTTGGTTGATGGGACCTAGGACTTCGTCGATTTTGCCAATGGGAGTCTATCAAAAGAAATTTGTTAGTTAAATTGCCTCGGATCGCCATTTTCCCGTATCGTACCTTGTTCTCCAAATAGATGGGGGCGTTGAAGTAGGGAATCTTGGGGTTGATAGATTCGCAAACCATCTCGCCTTCACAAGCATGCATGAAAGTACCCATCTCTAATAGCGCATTAGCGAAATATTCCTTCAAGGCGGTTTCAGTATGAAAATTCACCTAGTACTTGATCTGGGGGTCCGTAAGACTGCTGGAAACCTCCCCGGCCTATCCAAGAAAAAATTTGTTAGCTTTGAGCAAAACCCATCTCCGACATCAATTGCGACTTTTGCTCACCTCCACGGCCACCGAAACCTCCGCCACGGCCGGAAAAGCCACCACGACCGCCTCCGCGAAATGACATTTTGATGTTGTAGTTGTTCTTGTCGACCTGCTGCGGACTGATCGCGGAGAAGTTTTCAAACGGTGGGAACCTCGAAAGGGTAAAGTGTCGCTAGCCGCAGGGCAGTTTAAAATCACGTGCTCCACCGCCTTCCGGATAATTCACAGATTGAAGTCTAGAGGTTTGAGTCACGGAAGAAACATTTGTCGCTGCGAGAATTCCTCGATTTCCGCTGTTCACCTTCCCAGATCTTTGGCCAGTGTTGAGGAGTACGACTATGGCTTCCGACGGCCCCAAGGACTTGCCTGTTAGGCCCGCCGCTGAGGCGAAATCTGGCAGTGAGTCCTATACCTACCCCGCCGAATGCTCCTAGAGCCCCTCCTGACTAGGCCGTTACTCTAGGTGCCGATTCGCTTCCGGATTTTATGATCGAGCGAAACAACCTGTTTGAGCAACTATGGCAGGAGCATCTCGAAGAAGTCAAAAACAAGCCCCATTCCGAAATCAATGTCACACTTAGCCTCGGTGACGGAAATACCTCTGTTATCCCCGCGAAGGCTTGGGAAACCACCCCAGCACAGCTGCTTAAGCACGTCCCCAAAGAAGTGAGCGCCGAAATCGTTATTTCAAAGGTTGATGGTCAACTCTGGGATCTGGGTCGCCCATTGGAGGGCGAATGTACGGTGTCTTATGTTCCCTTCAGCGACCCAGAGGGTAGGGAGGTTTTCTGGCACTCAAGCGCTCACTGTCTGGGTGAAGCTTGCGAATGCGAGTATGGGTGTCTCCTTTCTCACGGGCCGCCTACCCCTCAAGGTTTCTTCTACGACATGGCCATGCCTGATAGGTAAGCATTTCGTCCACTCAATTGCGCCTGCGCTTTTCCAGTGGTTACTAATATCTTTCACAGCCGTGTTGTTAAAGAGACAGATTGGAAGGTCCTTGACAACAGAGCGTCTAAGATTTTCAAGGAGAAGCAGAGTTTCGACCGCCTGGAGGTTACCAAGGAGAACCTCAAGAAGATGTTTGCGTACAGCAAGTACAAGCTGCACTATATTGACAAGCTTGTGACTGGAGAGAAGAGCACCGTTTACCGATGCGGTACGCTAGTCGATCTCTGCAGGGGGCCTCATATCCAGAGCACTGGCAAGGTCAAGACCTTCAAGATCATGCAGGTTAGTGGTACCCGGCGAGTTAACTGTGTTGGTCTGGTATACTGATTCTCTCGTAGAACTCCTCCGCCTACTTCCTGGGTGACCAGAGCAACGATTCCCTACAGCGTATCCGTGGTGTTGCTTTCCCTGATAAGAAACAGATGCAGGAGCACCTTAAGTTCTTGGAGGAGGCCGAAAAGCGTAACCATTTGAGGATCGCCAAAGAGCAAGAGCTTTTCTTCTTCGACGAAGCATCACCCGGTTGCCCGTTCCTACTCCCCAACGGTGTTAGAATTTTCAATGCCCTCCAGTCCCTCCTACGTTCGGAGTACCGCAAGCGCGGATACCAAGAAGTGCAGACACCAAACATGTATGATGTTGGTTTATGGAAGACATCTGGCCACTGGGCTCATTACAAAGACGACATGTTCAAGCTTGACGTTGAAAAGAGGGAATGGGGTCTCAAGCCCATGAACTGTCCTGGTCACTTCCTTCTCTTTGGCCACCGTGAGCGAAGCTACAGAGAGCTTCCGATGCGAATTGCGGATTTCGGTGTCTTGCACAGAAACGAGGCATCAGGAGCGCTGCACGGTCTTACCCGTGTTCGGAAGTTCCAGCAAGATGATACCCACATTTTCTGTACCCAGGATCAGGTGCGTATTTTCTTTAGATCCCTAATCAGTTCTCTCGAAGTCCTAGTACTAATATCATCAAGATTGTGTCGGAAATTGAAGGTCTTTTCGACTTCCTCCAGTGTATTTACGGGCTCTTCGGTTTCACCTTCAAGCTGAAGCTCTCTACTCGCCCCGAGAAGTACCTCGGTGAGCTCGAGACGTGGAACTACGCGGAAGAGCAACTTAAAAAGGCCTTGACCAAGTTCAAGGGTGATGACTGGATCATCGACGAAGGTGATGGTGCATTCTACGGCCCCAAGATCGATATTACGATTGCCGATGCTCTCAACAGAGAGTTCCAGTGTGCTACTATCCAGCTTGACTACCAGGCACCCCTCAACTTCAAGCTCGAATACATGACTGGCGAAAAGAGCCAGGCCGCCGCTCAAGAAGAGGAGAAGAAGGAGGCAGACCCCAAGTCTAATGAGCCCGGCCCAGGCCGTGCCCGCCCCGTTGTCATCCACCGTGCCATCATTGGCAGTTTCGAGCGATTCTTGGGTATCATCACTGAGCACTTTGGCGGAAAGTGGCCGTTCTGGATCAGCCCCCGCCAGGTCTTGATTGTGCCTGTCATGCCTGCGGTATACGACTATGCCCAGGAGGTGCAGCAGATTCTGCAGGATGACAAGCTCTACGTTGACGTTGACGTCAGTGGAAACACTCTCCAGAAGAAGATCCGCACTGGTCAATTAGCTCAGTACAACTTCATTCTGGTTGTTGGCGCGGAAGAGAAGGAGGGCAAGTCGGTCAACATCCGCAACCGTGATGACACGGCCACTCAGGGCAGAGGTGTTGTGATTCCTCTTGACGAAGCCCGGCAGAAGTTCCGGGTTCTGCGTAAGGAGCGTAGATTGAACAACACCATCTAAACGGTATGAGTCCTATGTTGCATCGGTGTTCTTTGGGTGTTCAAAATTGCGGGGGGAGGTCATGAAGCATGAAGCTATGAGAGATACTATACAGAGATGAAATCTGGCGGCCCTATACAACCGTGCGTATGCAGCAACCATGCATTGATTAGAGTGTACAGTGTACATACCCAAGAGTAATCGTGCCGATGCACTGTTCAAAAAGTGATCATGTAGGAACCAGCCTGCCAAGGTTGTTCAACAGCCAGTTCTCCCCTTGTCAGCTTCTTGTCTGCCAATCACAACCTCTGTAGTGGACCTGTGCCTGTTTCATCCCCTTTTCATGCAGTGTTTGCCGAAAATCCCGGACAGGCCAGATGGCGAGCAGAAGAGAAAGGTAAACAAGGATGAACGGGTAGCTGTGTTGATCTTCCTCAGTGCTCAGACTCCCTCCGCACGAGACGGGATTGCGTGATGCCACCATGGCGATGCAGCAACTGCGCCTGCTCTTCCACCACCTCTTCCAACACCGCACGAAGCTGCAAGTCGGCTCCTGGAAACTCCTTGTCTCAGCTGCTAGCTTCCTCCTCGCGTGTCTGATTTTAATAACTTACTCTGCTACCGCGGGCAGCCGTCGAATATCCGACTCCGACCTCTTTTTCGACGCCGATGATGAAAATGGACACAGTACCGACAGCGACAGCGACAGCAGAAATGCTTGCTTCGTTGACCTTAATCTCCTCCGAGTTCTCGCAGACAATTCGACAGCAGTTGACTATTCACGGCTGAATATCGGTGTTTTGCGAACGGACAATTTCACCGTGTTTGAGGACACCCTCGACGTGTCCATCCCGTCCTACCGTACCGTCCACCTCGACACGGGAGCAAGTCGAGAAATCCGAACGGAGGAAGACTGTACAACGTCCGTGACAATCCAGGCCCCCATCGCCGCTCCACCGCCCGATGCCTCACACATGATATTCGGGGTTGCGACCTCGCTTGAGAAACTGGAGGATTCGCTCGACGCGTTCGCCCACTGGGCCAGCAATACGCAAGCCCAAATCGTTGCGGTTGTCGAACAGGGCGGTTCGTCGGCAAGATCACGAATACAGGAACGGGCAAGTGAACTTGGGATCCAGTTGACGATCACACAGACGGAGGATGACCGGTTTGACCGATACTTCTCGCTCGTCCGGGTGCTATACCAAAACATGGAGGAGTCAACAACGAAATGGGCGGTCTTGATGGACGACGACACTTTCTTCCCGTCAATGCGGAATTTGGTCCACCGGTTGGACTCCTATGACTCCACCATCCCGCAATACATTGGAGGAATGACAGAAGATTTGGCGCGGCTTTCGGGGTCAGGATACATGGCGTATGGTGGCGCAGGCATATTCCTCTCTATCCCGCTGCTCGAGGTCCTGCAGTACTATTATGAGACGTGCAACTCATTGAAGGATAAGGGCGATCGTATGTTATCGTCATGTATCTACTCGTACACGGATGCCAAATTTACCTGGGAGCGCGGCCTACACCAACTCGACCTTCATGGGGACGCCTCGGGATTCTTCGAGTCCGGCCGGCAGTTGCCCTTATCAGTGCATCATTGGAGATCCTGGTTCCAAGCCGATATGGTTGCGCTCGGAAAAGTAGCCGAGATCTGTGGTGATGAGTGTCTGCTCCGTCGATTCCACCTTTCCAAGTCCAAGGATTGGTTCTTGGTCAATGGTTTCTCTGTCATCCAGGACGCGACGCTGTGGAATGACCCCCGGCCGATGGAACAGACATGGGAAAAGAGCAAGTATAAAGGCTCCGACCCGTTTGCGTATAGCTTGGGTCCGTTGCGCCGCCAAGACCCTGACAAGGTTTCGTTTCAGCTGCGAGACGTGGTCCAGGATATGGATCGGGGTCAAGTCAGGCAGATCTATATGTTGAATGCGACGGATGAGAATCCTCCGCAGATTCTGGAGGTTGCGTGGACAGTGGTTCAGGAATAAGACCACCTTGTATATATCGAGAACGTACTGTAATAATCTGCTTACTTAGTTTAATCACTTGCCTACTACGTACAACTTAAACTCGCCTGGGGTATCAAACCGTCGATCAGCTCGTCCATTTTCTGGGGATCCGTTCTATATAGAGCATTCGAGTCATTCCATCTTAGTGTCTGGGGTCAAGGTATGAAACGGGACGATCATTTGACACTCGAATATTAAGAACCAACCTGGAGTAAGATCCCCGGACAGACGCAGAGACGGTTTACAGGGCAGAAAGGAACAGCGGCACATACGCCCAAGTTCGGCATCTGCTGTCGACCGTATAAGAAATTAAGAATTTACCGTTAGATCCAGTCACCAAAATAGAGTCCGGCTTACACCCGCTTCCTGCAAACTCAAAGCCCCAGTCCATGTGGGACTTTTCGCCTGGCCAGCATGCTTATCAGTCGTCAGCGCGGTGGACTAAAGCAGACTTCATTCACTCGACCGTTTCACTGACCCCAACACCACACACCATTTGGTTTTCGCCGTCTATCTTATTAGCTCGCGGGTCATCCTTCTCGCAGCCGGCAGACTCGACTGCTTACTTATACTATCATCAAATTCTGCCGTCATCAACAAGTGCGACCAAGACAGACGTGTTGAATTTGATCCAGCGTTTTTTTTTTCGTCTTGTATGGGTGTAGTTTTCCTGTCCCTGTGCCGTCGAGAGGAGAGGCTTCTGCCGTCCAGCATGGCGAATCCAATAGATTGATGTTCTTTCCTGAATCCGTAGGAGACTACTCTGCGTACTTTTGTCAATCGCCGATGAGGGGGGGCCAATTAAAGATGCCATATTGATGAGAATGGCCTTGTGCCAATTGCTCTAGTCACCCGTTCTGCACAAAGTGTTTGTCTCTGGTTGCGCTGTCACCCAGAAAATGCTCTTTTTTAAATACGGGTCAAGATCCCAGATGCTGTTGGTGGTCAGTCACGGAAAATAGAATTATATCAACTGAGCATCAACTTCACCGTTTTCAATGGCTGATTTACTCTTTCTTGGCCTGTGGGTTCAAACCCTTGCTGTCCTAGGGGCTCTGTTGGTGACGAAGCTCGTCTGGGATGTCCTGTTATCCCCCTTGAGAGCCTTTGACGGGCCTCTTCTAGCCAAGTTCACTAACATCTGGCGGGCCTGGGAGGCCTTTGACGGCCATATTGATCGGACATATATTCAGCTACACCGACGTCATGGGTCTGTGGTGCGAGTAGGCCCGAACGCCCTGAGCATTTCAGACCCCAGCTTGATCCGAGTAATCTATTCCACGCGGAACCCTTGGAGAAAGGTACCTTATTTCCCTCCCGGCTGTCAGTCTGCTAGAGCGATGTATGGGCCATATAAGCCCCAGACAGCTAACATCAAGCTCACGCTCTCTGCAGAGTGACTCGTATCACCCCAACGACGCCCTGGTGAATGGCCATCGAATCACCAATCTCTTCAACACACAAGACGAACAATGGCATGACCAGAATATCCTCCCAATTCGGAGCTTGTGGCGGATGTCCAAGGTCTTGAACTACGAGCCTCTGATTGATGAGACTATAAATAAATTCGTAGACAAGCTCGGTTCCAGGTTCGGTGGGGGCAAGGTCTGCCCTGTTGATGAATGGATTGGATACTGTAAGCCCATTTCCCACGGTCATATCAGTGGGAACATCGAGTGATTATTGATGCAGTTGCCTGGGATGTAACTGCAAATTTCAGCTTCGGTCGACACTATGGCTTCATCGACCAGGGGAAAGATGTCGATAACCTGATCGCAGACTCGACCAAAGGTCTTATCTACTTTGCGCCTGTAAGTTCGTCCTCATATGTGCCTCGTGGAAATACTAACCTTCAGGTCTCCCAAATCCCCTGGATCGACCATCTCCTAGACAAGAACCCCATCGTCCGCATCGGCCCCAAACCCACTCTAACCGGCATCCTCTACGCATTCAAAGTCGTCGCCGAATACCAAGCCGAACTCAAAGACAATAAAGTCAATCCCGGCACCACCGTCGACCACACTCTCGCCAAATACGTCCAACTCAAAGAGACACACCCGGAGATGGCTACAGACGTCCAGATCGTCAACTGGCTAATGCTGAGCATTCTCGCCGGTGGGGATACCTCGTCTGCCGTCATGCGCGCAGTCGTATACCATCTAGCTAAGAACGCAGACGCGCACCGAGCACTCGTCGCAGAACTAACATCTGCCGGTCTATCCATACCGGCTCAGTGGAAGGATATCCGTGACTTGCCGTACCTGGACGCTGTTATCCGCGAGGGCATGCGTCTTAACCCGGGTATTGCGATGGTGTTTGAGCGTGTTGCCCCGCCTGGTGGCTACACTTTACCTGATGGCCGGTATATCCCTGTGGGGACGAAAGTGGGCATCAACCCGGCCGTCACGGGTAGAGACTGCGGAGTGTTTGGCGAGGACGTGGATGTTTTCCGGCCTGAGCGGTGGTTGAGGCGTGATGATGATGGAGAGGAAGGAGAGGAAGAGTATCAGGAGCGTCATAGACGGATGCGTGATACTTGTGACTTTGTGTTTGGGGCTGGGGCGAGGGTTTGTATGGGAAGGCATCTTGCTATGCTGGAGATGAAGAAGTTAATCGCGACGTTGTATTACACGTTTGATGTGAGTCCCTCCAAGCTCTGAGATTCTCTCCTGTAAATCAGCTGACACTGATGCAGCTGCACCTGGTTGACCCGAAGCACGAATGGTCCTGTCGGAATGCCTGGTTTGTGTACCAAAGCGACATGCCTATGATTGTTACTCGTCGGGAGTAGAAACTAAATACCAAAAGACATGAAGTTCCAAGGAAAGTAAAGAGTCTACAGTAAACCAGGAGTATCTCACGAGTATATAAATAAGCATCACAAAAAGAAACTCGACATTTGTATTCCACGAAACCAGCCAAGGTCGAAACTCGTATACCTGTACGCTGCTCATGCAACTATATATGTTTGTTTGTGCAATGTGTTTGCTCTAGGAAACCGTCCCTGCGATCCTCTAGGTTTGAAATAAATACGGTGCACCACCACAGACACTAATTACGCATCCATTCCCCGCTGCAGGGACGATTCCAGATCGTTGAGTGTGCCGCCCGCGGCGCCTGCTTCTTGAGGCCTAGGCTCTTCTTGCCGCCACACACCCTGTTGGTGATCGGGAATGGGGATGTTGGCCTGTTGGGCCATCTGCTGCTGTTGGGCTAGGCTCTGTCCTTGTGGTATGCGGACTTCTTGGCGGAATCGAACCACTTCCTCGTAGATCATGCGGCGCATTTCCTGCACGTCCTCTACAACCTCGAAGTGGAAATCGAAGGTGGTAGGGCAGCTGGGCTCGTCCGATGCATCGTGCCAGATGCTGAGGTAAGGATGTTCCAAGGCCTCTTCCACCGAGACACGCGACGAGGGGTCGAAGGTAAGCATGCGGTCGAGCAGGTCAAGAGCATCGGGGTTGGCGTTGGGGAACAGCCGCTGGAAGGGAACCTTGGGCATGAATGGCAAGTTACGCACATAGTCCTGGGCCCGTGGTGAGCCAATGCGGCTCAGAGTATCCTCATTCGGAGTACCCAGGTAGTGCAAGATCTGGTTGAGCTGATCAACGTAGTCGCGACCCTTGAAGAAAGGACGGCCACCCAACAGTTCCGCCAGAATACAACCCACGGACCAGACGTCAACTGCAACCAAGTTAGTATTATATTGAAATCACGTCCCAAGTAGCAGCATCACATACTAGCTTTCGTGTAGCTCTGGAAGCTAAGCATAATCTCCGGAGCACGGTACCATCTCGTCGCAACATATTCGGTCATGTATCCCGCATTCTCCTCGGGGTCGATTGAGAACCCACGAGCTAGACCGAAATCACAAATCTTAAGCTCACAGTCCGCATTGACCAGCAAGTTTCCGGGCTTCAGATCTCTATGAAGGACATTGGCGGAGTGAATATACTTCAGACCACAAAGGATCTGGTAGATAAAGGATTGGTAGTGAGCATCGGTCAGAGGCTGTCCAGAGCGAATAATGGCGGCCAAATCACACTCCATGAGTTCTGATCAAGCATAATTGTTAGTAAACAAGTAAACATGCGTAGTGGAAATGGTTTCGCTAACCTTCGTACAGATATGTTTCATTGAAGTTCTCCGGTCGGGGGATATCCATATCATAGAGGCAGGTAATCTGAACCAAGTCAGTGTCATGGTCATGGATGCGAGCGGCGCTGGGTTCAGCATACATTGCGGTGACCTCTGAAATGCTGAAGCAGTTTTATTTCTCTCAAGGCGCGCTTGGCCAAGATCTTTTTGCTGAAGACATTGGTGACTTTCTTGACGGCGACGCCCTCACCCGTTTGGGCATTCGTGGCAGCACTATAGACGTAGACAGCACCCGTTAGCACCCGTATTCAGTAGGATACCCGTTTCCTTCGCTTCCAAGCTGGGTTTATATCGTATATGGCTGTATAGCTATACCATATTGAAGATAATAGCAAGCTTGAAGAAGACACCCCGCATCCACGAACAAAGATGCCAGTGAGGCACGTACCAAACAATACCGTAAGCTCCCTGGCCGAGCTCCTTGGTCACGGTGTAGCGATCATCCACGATAAAGTCCTGGTTGAAAACCTTAAAGATCTTCCGTCCTTGCAATTGTAGATCAGACATGGTGTAGGAATAGGATTCGAAATGATCGACCGGCAAAGGATGGTGAAACAATCAGATTCCGATTCCGAAACACGGTAGGCAGAGTGCAGACAATAGGCGACGGCGGATGGAGTGGGTTGAGATGGAATGGGAAAGAAACGAAGGTTGTTTTACGTCGCTCTCGCTGGAATAAGGGATGGCGATGATTTATTAGCGCCTAAAACGAGGAGCTGAAGATCGAGGGGATGCGGCTGCAGGTGCAATTGCGACTGTGAGGTCGATAGACGGCTCGATGCCCCGCAGTGTCACAGAGCTGCTTGCTGTCCACTTTATTCAATTATCTCGACGGCGATCGAGTCTCGTATCGAGCCCTTACAAGCCAAAGACGTCGGGATATATAGCACACGCAGAATTTTAGAGAGAGGGTCAGGGGAAGAGGAGGATGTGACAAGGGTAGACTCTTGAGTCGACTGATTGGACTGCAGAGGAGGAGCGCTAAAAAGTGATGGCACTGCAGGCAGCGGACAAAGGAGAGACGAGGTGGGGTGGCTGAAGTCCACACCCGTTAATATGGTCTATGGAGAACAAGCGCAAGCTCGGTGTCGTTTTAGTGAAGCAATTATTCAAACAATGAATGCCCAAATGTACGTGCGAAGGCGTCGTCCTGGTGGTGATTGTTTGGTTGTTTGTTGAGCAGCTTCGTTGCCTGAGGCATACAGAGGGGGCACCGCCAACTGCAATAAGTAGTAGCCCCAACTGCAGAGTACATATGCACGTTGGAGCAAGTCTATCGAGAAAATCTGCAGAAAATTGTGGTACCCTAAAGTATATAAATACTTCATAGTGTATAATGCAAGTATATTCCCCAAAACGTCCTTCCATAATGCATAAATCATATCTCACGTAGCGAAATCGCGCAGACAAGAGTATCTAAAAACAACTAAACATCAACCGCTAGATATCAATTAGATGATTCCAAATTTAACCAACCAACAAAGAAAACCAAGATACCACCCAAGAGATCCAATGGGCTAATAATAATAGCCCCGCCACCACACAGCCATACAAGCGGCAACGACCAGATCGAGCATCTTAATACCCTCGTCCTCGATAATGAGCTTGCCGAGTTTGGCGCTGTTACCGCGTATGCCACCTCCGGCTTTTTCACGTGCAAGTGAAAGATCTATGCGATCTGAGCTTGGAGCTTGACGGGGTGGTAGGGGCGGAGGCGCTTCGTTGCCCCCCCCATCACTGGAGCTGCTATTTGATGGTCTACGGTTTAACTTTTGGTTGATCAGGTTGGCGACGGCAGCGCGTTTAGAGGGGGGTGGTGCGAAAGGATCGAAATAGTACGGCGCTGAGGGGTCTGGAGTTGCTGAAGGGTCTTTGAGCATCGTAGTTTGACTGAGAGTGAAGGGTGAGGCGTGTGAATGTCCATGTGGCTGAAGATGGCCGGATTGGAAAGGAGTATTGAAACGAATCTCCGCAACAGTCACGGCTGGGTTCTCTTGAGTAGGGTTAGGGAATCCGGGCGACGGAATCATATGCTTGCATTTTAGACTTCGGCCGTTGACGCTAGTCGAGAACGTGCAAGTGCCGTTCCATGGCGAGTTGAATGTATAATATCCGCTCTTGAGTTTAGACGATACTGATTGATGCGTGTTAATAGAGCTGCCGGAGATGCTATCCATTGATGGGCGTCCGCCAGAAAGATCCAGAGAGCCGCGTGACTCTTCCGCATTGTGAGGTCTCGATACGACCAGCTTGCGGTGGAAACGTCGTGGTTGGGGCGGGTCACTTGGAACGGAGTCGTGCGTTTCTGTGGTTGTGTCGGAAAGTGATGCGATGTTTGGATGTTTGGAAAGCAAAGCGCGAGCTTCAGGAGGTAAATTCAAGCCAAGGGAGTCTATGGAGACTGGCTCATTCTTTCCCGCAAACCGGTTATACCCCGGTGTTGACACATCAATATCAATGCCATTTCCATCTAGTTGAGGCGTCGACATTGTTGCGACGTTCCACTGGATTCCATGAGTTGGGTCGCGGCGAATTAGTGTAATATGGAAGCCTGGCTGGCGCGGGGGAGGGGGGATATCTCGCGAGCGTCTATGAGGAGATTGTCCTGGACTTCTTGGGGCATGCGTTGTGGGTGGAAACTGTGGCGGTAGGCCATGCGACGAGGAAGGTCGCATCTGCGGTCGAGGAGCATCAAAGCTGTGTCGAACTGGAGAAGTCCCTTCAAGTCTCTCCCTCCCACGCTGCACCTGATTAGAGATATATCCAGGCAGCGCACTCCAACGATTGTTCCTCCTTGGCGATGCTCGGTCGTCGAAGGTATCGTGCTGCGGAACACCGGGTAGTGGCCTTGGGGGCATGGGTGGACGGGGCCCCTCAGCTTCGGTCAAACGCGCCATCGCTTCCGCTGGATTGGACGTGAGGGAATGGAAGGTCGGCGGGCGCGGAGGTAGTGCAGGAGACGACGGCGTATTCTCCGATTGTTGATCAGAGGGCTCTGCGGGAAGTGGGCGACGGCGTACTTGGGGAGTAGCATCGAGGCCAGCAGTATCCGGAACTCCCGAGACAGGTTTGCGCCGGACATTGTTCAAGCGTGCGATTTCAGGTGGCGGTGTAGGTAGATCCGGATCATCATCAATCAGCCCTTCCTTGCGTAGCCTTGCGCGTTCCTCACGCTCCTGCTCGTATTCCTGGAGTAGGATATCATCATCCGGCGATGCAACGTGGAGATAATATAGGGAAGCGTTGATTGCCTCCGCGGAGACACTAGACTTGGTCGGAGGTTTGAGAGGGCTGAGAAAGACATCTGCAGGTTTCAATGTCAGCAAAGTCCTGGTTCGGCAATCCGATACAGGTTAAATAAAATGACGGGGCCGATGTCAACAAACAATCGAAGCGGGGTGAAAAACCAAGCCGGCATCGGCGGCGAACGCACCTTTACTTCCAGGAACTCTCACAATATAAAGCACTAGCGGGTCTAGCTTCTTTTGCGCAGGGTTCCGGGGGTAGTTTGGAGGATTAGAGGCGATAGAAGTAATGGAGGAGAGAGAGCGCGCTTCCACGGGCCCTTGGTTTAGCGGCGCGGGGAACGAAGCGGACTCCCCATCCACCACGTCGACCTTGGCCATTTACCGTGACGGTGGCCTTAAACTGTAAAAAATTTAGGTATACCGGCGGCACCGAGCATGTAGTCGAGGGCAGAGACTAGATAAATAATCACTCAGCCGCAACGGAGGCGCAGACGTGGAGGAGTCGGATCGCTGTGGGGAGCCTGACAATTGCCAAGACAGACACCATTAGGCATAGCCATACTCCATACGAACTGGCAGTAGACAAGTAACCTGAAAGGAAGTGCCAAGCTAGCTGAAAAATTGACGGAGGACCCAAGAATATTTTGGGGACATAAAGATGTGGCTGTGGCCGTGGCCCCTAAAAACAAAGCCGGAAATAGAGTTGCCTGGGATGGCAAAATATAGTGCCCACGTACACCCAACACGTTTGAACACGCATCCCTTGCGGCGACTGGGTCTGCCCAAAATATTAATAAACCCAATGTATGTCCTTTCAGATTGGTATCTCTAGTACAAGAAAAATAGCTACAAGGTAAGTGTGTGTGAAGTGCTATGTTTAGGCCGGCAATATAAAAATGAAAATAACAATAAAGAACGTCGACCAAAGGAACTTCTCTATGCTGAATGCACACGGTAGTATTAGGGAGACAATTAGACGACCGTCTCGGACCGCTCGTTCTCGGCAATAACAGGAACAGGCAGGCCCCGCTCAGGACTCTGCAAGACCAACTGCTCATGGCGTCGAGCACGGAGGAAGTCGCTGATAGCCCGGATTAAGATAAACCAACCAACAATCATTAGAACATAAGAAATCCACTCGCCCGTGGAAATTGCTGAGGCACCTCCATCGCCTCCTGAGCTTGCATTTTCGACCACCGCGCTTGGGTCAAAGCTATGACTATTAGGGTCTGGCGGCGTGATATGCTCGTCTGAGCCTCCACTATCCGACCTCGATTCGCTACCCCCCTTCATGTAAAACCCATACTGAACTAATGTGAGACCGAGGCCAGCCCGGCTTCCGTTCTTTGCCGCATGTGTCGTGTGCAGCAGGTATGTGAGGAGGAAACCGACGAGTTGGAACGACATGGAGATCATGGCATTCCATATGAACGAGAAAATTGAGCCGACCGGCAGCCCATCCACGTAGACCTCGTCTGACGATATACCAGGAGCCACAATAGTGGTTTCCCAGTACGGTGGCGTCGCATCGGCGGCAGCCTCTTCATATGACTACACAGACATTCAATTAGATAACTGCCCACATCTTATATATAGAGGGTAAAAAGCAAAACGTACCGGTGGCAAATCCTCAGTTTTCTCTCCTCGTTCCGGCTTAGCCGCTAGATTCGCGAAAACACCATCGTTTGATGAATTAATATGGCGATTTGGATTTGAACTGGATGTGCCACCGAAGAAAGGCAGCAATGTCGAAGTCCGTTGAATTCCCCTCGATCCCACCTGCGATTCAGTATTCGCGCCGGATGATGATGATGCTGCTCCTACTGGCTCTGCTGATGTAGATGTGCTGGTATCGGCTGAGGGCGGAGCACCCGGTTGCGCTCGCATTAGCCGCTGTCGGTCGTCGACCTCATCGCCGGCTTCGGACTCGCTGTCATCGAAGGCATCAGCGAGGGCCTGGTCTGTACTGTGTCGGTGTAAAGGGTCATCATGGAGAAGGCGTCTTGAGGAGGGAGAGGCGGAACGTGAACGGAATGAAGGAGGCGGAGAAGAAGGTGTAGGCTGCAGAGCGATCGACGGAGGGGCTTGGTCGTCGTCGTCTTGGGCGTTGACCTGAGGTATATTATTTAGTAAATTCCTCTAAAGCGATGTTGCTGGCATTTGGGTACGAGATCGTGTATTTGAACCCTGACGCTGAGGTGGGAGGCGGCACTTACCCGTTGATAACGCTGCGAGCTCATTACGAGCTGAGCGAGCGGAAGCGCCGGGAGAAGGGCTTTCGGGGTCTAAAAGGCGATGTCGGGTGTAGGGCACAACTGCAAGCCGCACAAGCGGACCGTACAGGGTCGTATAGGCTGGATGGGGAAGATGGAAAAGAGGTCAAGGGAGGGATGGAAGATGGCGATGGATGGATGGATGGGTGACCAACTGACATGCCTGAGGGCCGACAATCAGTCTCATTCGATGATGCCTGGACCACTCCCCTGCTTGAGATGTCGGTCCACCTGCCATGTGTGATTGGCTGTGGCGGTGCAGGCGGTGAGTCCATTGGGCCGCCCGCGGCTCCCATGACTTATTTTTTGTAGACAGAGCGATGAGACTCGACCACCGACTCCGATGCCTCATCAACTTGACTTCACTCAGATGCTCCACAAATTGCAAACCCAAGATAGGAATTGTTTAAATATACAGTGAATCTATTTCCATCTCTCGCGATAAATCCACCAACCGCCAAATTCACCATGGCGCGACCTGCTGTACGTGACTTCAAACCAATACCAAACCGAGTCCCCAGAGCATCTATCTAATACGCTGACCCCTCATAGCAAACCGCGCAGTCACGCCTCACATTCCTCCTAAAGCACTGGCCTGCTGACCCAATCCGCCCATCCTCCGTCTCCGTCCAAACATACCTCCAATCGCGCCTCCCTCAATCACAATCACAATCACCAGAACCATCACAACCTGCCGCCACAGCGGCCGCTGTACCGACGGGCACAATATCAGAATCCTCTATCAATGCTCTGACATCACTCCTGGAAGATCGATATGCCAAGCGTTATCCGCTGCCCCCGAAGCTACGGCACCCCGCGAGTAACCCGGACCACTACGATGACCTGATTCGGGAGTTTGAGGAGGCGCCGACGAGGGATATCCTGGGGCGGATTAAGAAGAAGTTGGGAGGGCTGTTCAGATTTCAGTAGGAGAGGAGGGTTTGCGACCTGGACATGATAATGTATATTATTTCTTGTACGAATATGAACGAGAAAAACCTCGATATGGACTCCATTATTTTATCCGCAACTGTATATCTGCATATTAGTACTTTTTTGCAAAAATGACGTTACTTGGTTAATTCCGGTTAAAAGAGATATACACACGGTTATAACTCAACTTTAAAACTTCATGTTCAAGATATAAATTCCGAATACTATATACAGACAAGCCCTAACAACATTGATAACGCTCGAAACGCCGCATGTATAATGCAAGATGAACAGGTTTTACTAATACGAGACTGCCATTACAGCATAGGCTTCACGTCGTCAGCAACCTTGAACGGTGCTTCGGTCTTAGATTTGACCTCGTCGACGGTAACTCCATCAGCAAGCTCGACGAGGGTCAAGCCGCTAGTGAAGTCAACGTCGAACACGCAGAGCTCGGTGATGATACGGCTGACACAAGTTCTACCGGTTAGAGGGAACTCGCACTGCTTGACGATCTTGGGGCCGCCCTTCTTGTCTGTGTGCTCCATGGTCACAACGACCTTAGTTGCAGCGGGGTTGGAGACGAGGTCCATGGCACCACCGAAGCCCTTGATCTTGCCGGGAAGCATCCCTGCGGATATTTATTAGTATGGTGAATCAAGAATTATATATCCCAGGTGTGAAGAAAGGACGGAAGGAAAATGACTTACAGTTAGCTAGGTCACCCCTGGCGCTCACCTGCATTGCACCGAGGATAGTCAGGTCAATCCTGCCGGAGCGGATCATACCGAAAGATTCGTCACTGCCGAAGACAGCGGCGCCTGGAGCAAGCGTCACAGTCTCTTTGCCAGCGTTGATAAGATCGGCGTCCTCCTGGCCCTTCTTCGGGTAGGGACCCAAGCCAAGAATACCGTTCTCAGACTGCAGCTGCACCTCCACGGATGGGTCCACGAAGTTAGGAGCTAGCATAGGCATGCCAATACCCAAGTTAGCATACATCCCGTTCTTGAATTCCTTAGCCGCACGGCGAACAATCCTCTCGCGCTTAGCGGCAGTGTCACCCTTGCCCAGGGCAGCGGCGGACTCCTCGCCCTCCTCCTTGGCGAAGGTATATTTCTCAATGTTCTTGGGCGCTGTGCTCTGAATGATACGCTTCACGTAGATTCCAGGAAGGTGGATAGCAGCGGGGTCGAGCTCGCCGACTTCGACGATGTTCTCTGCCTCGACAATAGTCATCTTCGCGTTCCGCCCCATAGCGCCATTGAAGTTGGCGGCCGCGAATCGGAACTGGCAGTTGCCGAGTTTGTCTGCCTTCCACGCCTTGACAAAGGCATAGTCTCCCTTGATGGACTCCTCCATCACGTAGCTCTTGCCATCGAAGACCTTGACGTCGCGAGGCTCGCCGTACAGCGCAACCGTGCCGTCGGCGTTGTGCTTCAGTGGCAGCTCGCCAGTCTGGACCACAGTTCCAAAGGCAGCAGGCGTGTAAAAGGCAGGAACACCTGCGCCACCGGAGCGGCACCGTTCAGCCAGTGTACCCTGTGGGGTCAATTCAAGTTCGATCTCGCCGCCGAGGTACATGCGCTCGAAGGTCTTGTTCTCGCCCACGTAACTGGCGATCATCTTCTTGATTTGCTTGGACTGGAGCAAGAGGCCTAGGCCAGCTCCGTCAACGCCGGCATTGTTGCTGACTGCCGTCAGACCAGTGATTGAAGGGTTGTTTTTCACAGCATTGATGAGGGTGTCCGGCACCCCAGAAAGACCAAATCCACCGGCGAGCAGAGTCGAGTTTGATTTCATGTCCTTAATGGCAATGTCGGCGGAAGCGACAACTTTGTTTATCTCTGAGCGGCGGACACTGTTCGAGAAGGTCCGTGCGAGTAGTATTTGGTGCTGCATAGAGACACGAATCGTTAATTATGCGCCCAGGATCTAGCAGGGATGGGGTAATAGCTGAGCTACATACCTTGCTCTGGTCGAGCGAAGCGCGCTTGGCGAAGCGCAGACAAATCGACGCTGGGGAAGGCATACTGTAGACTGTAAAATCTCGAAATAAGGCTACTATAGCAGGTCCCAGTAGGTGGTAGAGGAGATGACAAGCAGACCAACAAAAGCGATGGGGGGAAGTCGGGGATTAATGTACTCTGTACGTCGAGAGCGACGGCTGGAAGC